TTGTTATTTAGAGATACAAGTCTCATGGTCTTTTCTGCCTGGGCTGGCTTTGAACCATGATCCTCAGATCTCATATGCTCCCAGTGCCGGAGTGAGTCTACTTTACAATAAAGCAAACAAGGCAAGGATTGGTGTTCCCCTGGCATGCTGATTCTAGGGTGTGCTGATCTAGGTCTGGGAACTTCAGCAGAGCTGTGGTACCTGACACAGTCCCTGCCACTCAAGTGGATGCTAATACAGAGATGTTGGACAGGATCGCATGGATGAATGAAGGCAGCACACAGGACAATGCAGGGCAGTAGTTAGAAAGTTGTCGCTGCTGGAGAAACGCAACCTTTCCGCAGTCACTGCGTTTGCTTCGTCCAGGCCCTGGGGAAGCAGGTGGTGGAGTGTGAGGCTAAGCGGTCTGTCTTGGCTCGTGGTGGTTGATTATTAATTTTTCAGGAATTTTGCAGGCTGGCTATCAAATAGCTGTTCCAAAAGATTAAGTTATATAAAGTGACAACGAAATGGTCTATTTTAAAAAGTAATAAATATCATCACCTCCTAAGTATTATTTTATACGAATATTGGCTACTTTCTCTGGTCTTGAAGTTATTTGTATCTATTGCCAGGGCTGATCAAGGGCTCAGTTGGGAAATATTTCAGGCTTTCCAGTCCTTCTCCTCCCCTTCCTCTTTGGATGGAATTCACAGCCAATACCACGTGAGCCACACCCCCAGTCCTGGGTGCATCTCTTCCATATTCAGATCCATACTGGTTGCTTGTAATCAGCCATGACAGGGAGATTTATACCAGGAAAATTGTCATGCTGCCCATCACAGCTTGCCTAACTTCCTTCCTTCCTTCCTTCCCTTCTTCCTTCGCTCCTTCTCTCCTTCGCTCCCTCCCTCTCTTTCTTCATGGGGGCTGACTTGTTACAAACTTCCCAGCTCCCACTGGATCCAATCAATGATGAGCCGAGTCCTGCCCCCCCCCCCCGGAGGTCGCAGTGTGCTAGGGTCCTGCGCCATTGCTGGTGGGGTACAGCTGGGAGGGGCTTTGAAGGCACAGAGTGGCTACCACCGGAGATGGGCCTGGCGGCAGGGTGGCAGCGGAGGAGGCCCGCGGCCGGCCCGGTGCGCAGTCATCAGCTCCGCCGCCGGCTCTCCCGCCAGGCTGAGCCACCTCATCACATTCCTTCAGAGTGAAGGGCATGTGACTCCTGGGCCTGTGCCCCCCCCCCCCCTCCCCGCTGTGAACCTCTCAAGCAGCCTTTGGGAAAGGGAGACTGCTGGCTCCGGACCCTTCTTTGGAGGGTCTGGATTCCTGTGGCACTGAGGACAGGGTGGGTGCATGACCCACCCCGGGGAAACCCCAAATCCGCTTGTGTCTCTTGGGAGCTGCTGCCCTGGGGCTCCTCGTGGGACCTGCTGGCAGAACGCAGGTTCCTGTCTAGGTTTGGAGCCCGTCGGGCGGACAGGAGGGCTCAGCCCTGACCTAATCAAGTCCCAGGGCAGGAGTCAGAAGACTTGACCATCACAGACGCCACCCAACACAGCGAGCCGCCCCTGAGCACCAGGCCTGTGCCACCTTGGCAGACAGTGCTTGTCCCGGTGGTGGATCAGTGTCGAGGCCAGGCTCCGAGCGAGGGCTGCTGTGACCCCGACACTCCCAGATCTGCTTTAAGTTCTCTTTCCAGCTCACTGATTCCGTGAAAGCCAAGAGATATTATTACTTAAAGACGACACGAGTCAGAGTGAACACTTGCTTTCTGAAAGCCTGCTCAGGAACGCCCGAAGTTCACAGGATATTGGGAAAACTGCATGGCATTTGAGGCCAAGTGGAAGCTCAGATTCAAATCTTGGCCAACCTTCTTGGAGCCTTCAACTCTTATCTTGGGGTTCAGAGTAATTCCCGGTTGGGAGGAAGAGGAACAAACATATAACACCTCCAGCATAGCGCCTGGCATTTGTGCCTGGACCTTGTGCTTGCTGAGCAAGTGCTCTCCCCCCTGAGCTACCACAGCAATTTCTTTCCCTTTACTTTGTTCTTCAGATAAGGTGTCCTGTCAACTTTGACTGAGCTGGCTTTGTGTGTTGATCTTGCTACCTCTGCCTCCTGAGTAGCTGGGATTACAGGTATAAGACACCACTTGTGTCCTTCACTTCCATTTGTTTCCTGAAGATCTGTTAGCATTAGGGACCCCGGTGGCACTCTCCTCTCCCAGCTGAGTTAGGTGTCCCCAGTCTCTTGTTGCTGTAGCCCTAAGCGCAGGATAGTGATGGAACTAGACTCTGAGTCTATGCTTGGTGGTAAGTCACAGGCTCTGAAGTTGCATCAAGCTAGCCCCAATCTCGACAGACTCAAGCACTCTGTTCCCTCATCTATGAGTATGGATGACACAGCAGCCGTGTGTCAGGTCACTGTGAGAAGAAAATGATGCACATATGGGACATGGTACACTCAGGAAGTCTGGGCTATCACAGTAATTGCTACTAATAGCCCAGTGCCTGGTGTGCAGCGGGCTCCATCTGTATGAAGAGGTGGGGTCTCAGGCTGCTCCCCTCTTGCTTCATGGTTTCCTCAAGCCAGAACTACTTGGGAACTTGAAGGAAAGCCAGCGCATTGTGAGAAGTCAATGAATTTCTAATCTGTAACTTAACAGCACCTCCCCAGGGCACAGAGGACAGCTGCTCTCCTCTGGCAGAACGGACACGAGTCTTCTTTGGTGATGCAGGCAAGTTGCAGCCTGCCTGTCACAGGCTCTCCCCAGCCCTGGCTCTCAGGGTCTTGAGGGAGAGGGGTGTAAACACTCTCCCACCTCCAGGAGGCTGTGGGCAGTATGAGGTAATTCAACCCTGCAGAACACCTCCACTGAACACGAAGAAAAAAAACAGCCAGGCGCCGGAGGCTCATGCCTGTATTCTTAGCCACTCAAAAGGCTGAGACTCTGAGGATGGCAGTTCGGAAGCCAGCCCAGGCAGGAAAGTCTTCTTTTTTTTTTTGGGTCCAGTCGTGGGACTTGAACTCTGGGCTTGGGCGCTGTCCCTCAGCTCTTCAGCTCAAGGCTAGCGCTCTACCACTTGAGCCACAGCGCCACTTCCTGCTTTTTTTCTTTTTGCTTATGTGGTGCTGAGGAATCGAACCCAGGGCCTCAGGCATGCAAGGCAAGCGCTCTACTACTGAGCCACCTTCCCAGCCCCAGGAAAGTCTTCTTATCTCCAGTTAGCCACCACAAAGCTGGAAGTAGAGGTGTGGCTCAAGTGGTAGAACACCAGCCTTGAGCAAAATAGCTAAATTCAAGTTCAAACCCCAGTACAGGTACAAAACAGATAAAGGCATTGCCACTGAACAAGAAGGCAAAAATATTTCTCTTCTCCTCTCTTCCTCCTACCCTCGCAAGCAAGCACTCTACCACGTGTTTGCATTTTGTTTTTGCGATAGGATCAGGCCATCTTTGCCTCAAACCCAAGGAACTCCTGCCTGCCCCTCCCCAGTAAGTGGGCTTACAGGTGTGCCCCTGCCACACCAAACAAAATTCCAGGGGCTTTCCTGGCCCAGGCGCCCAGCACCGCACCGGGGAAGGGAGCGCCTCCGGGCTGCTGCTTGCCAGTGATAACGGAAAGGAAATGATTTTGCTTCTAAGCTGGCGTCTGAGACACTGCGGTTGAGCCCACAACCACCCTCCCAGTATCTCCCCTGGGCTGGAGTGGGGGTGGGAGGACACAGCAGTGGCCAGGATCCGAGGTGGGGGTCTGTGTGGAGGTGCAGAAGAAAGGAGGGGGACTGGGATGTCCGCCTCGCCTCCACCACCCCCCTCCCCCAGGTCAGTAGCTCTCCTTCAAAGAGCAGCAGCAGAGGCCTGAAGCCAGGCAGCCGGAGACAAAGCAACGAGGCAGGGTGTCTGGGTGATCCCAGGGGTCCTGGTTCTTCTTTCTCCCTCTGTCTCTAAACCTTCTTCATATGTGTGTGTGTGTGTGAATATGATACATATATATATGTATCTTTAGAGGTAGGGTTTCACTCTGTGTAGCCCAGGATGGCCTAGAACCCATGCTCCTCCAGCCTTAGCCTCCCAAGTGCTGGGTGCGGGGGGCGGGGGGGGGGACATCTTATTTCTGCCATCGGCTAGCTGTTCAAAGGAGCCACAAGCTCTAGGTCCGGGCACAGTCACGGGTGCACGGCCGCCCCTTCGAGGCCGCCGCTCCTCCGTCCCCGCCCGCCCGTTCAGACACCGGGGGGAGGGAGGCGAGGAGCGCGGAGGGGGCGCGTCTGGACCCGGAGCCCCTCGGGCCGGCCCGGCGGGCGGCCGCCCCGGCCAGCCTCGATGGCCCCGGGCGCCGCAGGGCCGGAGGGCGGGCGCTCGGCCCGGCTCGGCGGGGGCGCGGCGCGGCCGCCCGGGCCCGGCCCACCGCCCACATTCCGGGCGGGGCGCGGGGCCTGCCGGGGCTCGCCCGCCCGCCCCCCGCCCCAAGGGGCCGCCCCGCCCCGCCGGGCCGCGCCCGCCCCCGTCCCCGCCCGGCCGGCCGCCCGCCCGCGGGAGGCCCGGCCGCCGCGGCCGCCGCCGTTGCCGCCATTGACGTCAGAGGGCGGGCACATGACCCCCGGCGGCCAATCGCGCGCCGCGCCCGCCTCCCGCCCGCGAGCGCCCCGCAGCCGGCGCGGCCCCCGCCCGCAGCGCACTCGCCGACGGACGCGGACACACGCACCGCTCAGCGCGGCCGCGCGGGGCCGAGACACGCCCGCCCCCCCTCCCTGCCCCGCGCGCCCCGCGCCCCCCGCCCCGGCCCCGCGTCCCCCCGAGCCCCGCCGCGCCGGCATGCGCCCCGCCAGCTAGGAGGAAGCGGCCAGGAAGCGCCCGCCGCCGCCGCCGCCGCCGCCCCCGCGGCCGCGCCCCGCCCCGCGGCGCCCCCCAGCCCCACGCCCCACGCCCCCCACCCCGGCGGCCCGGGGCGTGGGGGGGTGCGGGCCGCCCCCGGGGCTCCGCCGCCGCCGCCGCGCCGCGCCCGCCAGGCCCGCCCCGACCGCGCGCCCCGGCGCGGCCATGGATCTGACCAGCAGCTCGGGCGGCGGCGGCGACCCCCGGCAGCTCGAGGAGACCAAGCCGCTGCTGGGCGGCGACGCGCCGGGCCCCGAGGGCACGAGGATGGGCGCCGTGCCCTGCCGCCGGGCCCTGCTGCTCTGCAACGGGATGAGGTACAAGCTGCTGCAGGAGGGCGACATCCAGGTCTGTGTCATCCGGCACCCGCGGACCTTCCTCAGCAAGATCCTCACCTCCAAGTTCCTGAGGCGCTGGGAGCCGCACCACCTAACGCTGGCCGACAACAGCCTGGCGTCCGCCACGGTGAGTGCGGGGCCCGCCCGCCGCGGCCCCCGCCCCCCGGCCCGGCCTGGGGGTCCCCGAGCCCCGCGCGGCCCCCCCCGGGCCGCGGGCCCCCGCCCTGGCGCGACGCCGCGGCGGCGCCCCCGGGGGGTCGTGGGCTTCCCGCTCCCCGGGAAGCCGCGCGGCTCGTCCGGCTCCGAGCGGCCGGGGAACACAAAACGCCGCCCCCCTTCCCCTCCGCCATGAGCGCGCCGGAGCCACCCCCAGCCCCAGCGGATTTCCAGCTCCTTTCGTCGCTGTACCCGTCCTTGGTTCTTTCCTCCCTGCCCCGGCGGCCAGGCACGGCCCGGCGCCCCCCTTTCCGAGGATCTCACCCGCCCACGGGGGTCGGGGTCCCGGGCCGCCCGGGGGAGGGGGGTCGGCGGCGGGAGCCGGCCGGGTCCTGCATTGTCTGCGGAGCGTGAGTGTGAGTGTGTGTGTGTGTGTGTGTGTGTGCGCGCGCGCGCGGGGGTGCGCGGTGTGTACGTGCGGCTTCCTGCCCGAGGTCCCGTTTTGTTTCTGTTCCCGTGTTTTCACGCTGGCTCAGTGGGTTGAGATCGAGAGGACGAGCCGCCCATCTCTTTCTGCAATCGAATCTGCAAATGGTGGACTTCTTCCCGGAGAAAGACAGCTGTGGTGGGGTCGAGGGAGGAGTGGGGGTGGCGGGCCGGGCCTGAACAGGATGCTTTGTGTTTTGAAACAAGGGTGGTTTCAAATACCGGCTCTGGCTTGGCCTGGGCTTGGCGCTGGGGGTCCAGGCTTTGAGGAGAGGGGGCCATCTTGCCTACAATGCACCGCCCGCCCCCTCCAGCCCGGCTGCTGTTTGTTAGCTAAGCCCAGTGGGAGGGGGCAGAACTCGACACCTCTCCACACCTGTGCCAGGAAACAGGGTGTCGCTTACATGCGTGTCACAAACGTGTAGCCTGTGGAGACATCTCCCCAGCATCCATGTTCCTTGGTGGTGTGTCACAGGCCGTGACACACGCTCCAAGGAATGGGAGGGGGGGCAAAGGATCCTAGCCCTCCCATCCCCCCCCCCACTCTCAGAGCATCAAAGCACATGAGACTTTTATTCTGAACTCTGGGTTTGACATGTCTGGGACATTTCATTTTTTTCTGTGCCATGGGCACAGTGGGGCAGGGCCTGCTGACTCCTGTCTCAGAGGCCACCCGCCTCCCACCTTCCAGGCCACTGCATGGCGTGTGCTTAAACCTGCCTCGGATTGCCCAGCTTCTGAAAACCTCCATGGAAAACAGACACTGCAGACTTCAGGGCTTCCCTGTCTAGGTTCTGGAGCCCCCTCCCCTGCCCCTCCCCCCCCATCCAGCTTCATTAGTGAGCTTTACTCTAGGCTTCCTTCTTTCTCCTGTTCCCCTCAGCACGAAGGGAATGAGTTGTGGGGGAGGGGATGGTTGAGAGGGACAGTGACCGGCCAGCCCCTGCTTCGGGGATGGTGGGGAGTCAGGAGCCGAAACCCCTCACCTACCCTGGCTGTTCAAGAGCTACGGTTGTGTGGGACTCGGGTGGGCAAGCAGCCTGTGGCTCGCGTCCATCCTGGCCGGCCCAGGTGGATGGCACCCTGAGAGGAGCCCTTGTGAGTCCAGAGCCAGGGCTGGGCAGAGGGTTTAGAGGAACAAGTTTGATCTTGGTGCAGAGCCTGGCTCTGGGGTTAGGAAACATGCAAAAGAGCTAGGAGGAAGTGTCCCAGGGGCTGGCATGATCCCCTCTCTCCACTTTTCTCCGTGGAAGTAGGAGCCTTCAATTTAGCCCTGGCCCCAGAGCCTGTGAGTGGAGGCAGGGCTGTCTGGGCCCCCAAGGCCCATGGGGGTTGGGACCACCACCACCAGGGATCTTGTCCCCTGTTGAGACACCTGGTTAGTGTCCAGGCTCCCTGGCAAGCTGAGAATCTCCTGTGGGGTTCCCTGAGGCCTGGTCATTATGTAATCTGGCTGCATTTTATAGTGCAGCCCAGACACTTGGTTGAGCAATATGAAGCCTAAATGAAAGAAAGGTGAATTTGAGTGCAGCTTGCTGCCCCACAGACCCTTGCTAACCCTCAGGCTCTGCCGGCTGCCCGGCCCAGCCCTGAGCCTCCTGGAACAGGTGTGTTTCTGGGAGAGGCATAGCCATCCTCAGAATGGCCAGAACTGGAGTTTTAAACCCAGACCAGACCATCTGGGGATTATCTGGTTAATTGTGTGCCTTCAAGACCAGAGTGATTGATCTGAATTCCAATCAGTAAACAACGTAAACTTATGCCCAGTCTGTCTACATTGATCCAGTTAACTGAATCATGAGCAATAAAGATCTGGCTCCCAGGATCACAGCTTTATCAAGCTGGAGTGAAGTCTTTGGGGGTCTCCCTGTGTTGGGGACTCTGGCTGGACACACCCTGAGTCTGGGACTCCAGGAGACTTAAAAAGGAGTCTGGTGCCCTGGGGACCTGATACCCCTCTCCTGGCCTGGCTGTAAACTTTGCCCTCTGTGGGGTCAGGTTGGAGCTTGGCCTGCGCCAGTCTCCTGGGTTGGTTACTGATTAAAATCCTTACGATGTGCCTGACATGGCTCGAGACAGTGGGCCGGGTTGGATGAACCTTGTGCCTGGAGACTTGGGATCTGGAAGGCTTGTAAACTCCCAGCCTTCCTGGGAGGCGAGGCTGAGGCCCAGGAGAGCCCCCTGCTCCCAACCACACAGCCTCTGGTGCTTGGGGAAGGGCCAGCTGCCTACGCACGGTCTGGTTGTGGTGGCTTGTTCCCCTTTTTGCATTCAGGCTTTCCAGTCCCTGGGCCTTCCTGGGTCTTCGAGGCTGTGGATTGTGGTGCAGGCAGAATCCGACAGCCAGCAGTTCTGCATAAGTGGCTGTAATCAGCAAGGCCAGAATCCATTTTGCTGTTCTCATCCCTAGGCTGAATTTGATCACCTGCTAGACATGTTTGTCCGCTGGCGGAGGGCTTTGTCTGTAGCTTTTGTTTCCTCTGAACCAGAGAAGTACAAATAAGCTGCTTACCTGTCATTTCATCTTGATTTTTAAAAACCACACACCGGTGTTCTGAATGGTGGGTCTGATTTGAAAGGCTTTTTATTCATTTACTGAAGGTGGGGGGCACAAGGGACAGGGTTCGGAATGGTGGGTCTGATTTGAAAGGTCTTCTGTTCATTACCAAAGGTGGGGGCACTAGCGACCGCGTTCGGTATTCTCAAGCTGCATTCACCCAGGCTCGTTTTCCAATTTTTACTGCCTGGCTTCCTGATTGGAATGAAGAGAAGCTCTTCGTCCTCTCCGCTTTCTTTCACACGGTGTGTTCTCAGGGCACCGTGGGTCCTTTGAGCCTGGACTTGGATTAGTGGGTGCCTACTGCACCCTACAGTGTGTGTGTCCAGATGCTGGGCTTCCACTTGAGAAGGAAGATCCTGTTCTCCAGAGCCACCCCTACTCCCCTGGGACCCATTTGTGTGTGCAAGTCCTGTGTTAATGGTTTTAATTCGGGTTACATACACGGTCCTCTGTGACATTGAGTTTCTGGTGGCATTTAGTAAACATTTTTTGGGGGTCATTGGGAGAGTTTGGTTTGGTGTACATCCACATGTCTGATGGCGGTGGTGGAGGGGACACAGCCAGAGGAACAGACAGACATGGACATTTTTTGCAGGGAATTTTCTACCCCAGGACGGGTCAGCATGGCCCTCCTCCCCTAGGCTGTCAGAATCAGTGCGTTTGGGGTGAGATGCCCGGTCTGGCCCTGGTGTTGTTGTACCAGTGCGGGAGGGGTCTCCGGGAGTATGGCTATGCTTCCCCGTCAGCTCAGATGGAGCAAAGGCCGTGGGCTGGGCCCCTGGGCCCCACATGGCTTGTGTGTGGCCCTGCCCCTCCGTGGTGCCTGACGTGGCAGGAGAGGGGCTTCTGGGCACCCTCTTGGGCCAAGCTTAGAGAGAGCCTGGAGGCCAAGTCACCCCAAAGACTTGAGTCCCAGGGTCCCTCACCACTGGTGCCTCCCAAGGCCTGGCTGGACTCTGTTCTTGCCAGGGCACCTGTTTGAGTTTGTCGGCATGGATATTTCAGATGGACCGTTTGTGCCTTTGATGGAAACTTTGTTGTGTGTCATGTGGTTCCAGAGCTGGGCTCTGGGCTTAGAACTTCCGGGCTGGAGGCATTGTCAGGCCCCGGGCCTGCCCTGCCTTGCTGAGACCTCCTTTTCTCCATCTTTGCTGCAGGTCTTCAGAGCTCATATGTAGAATTGCTGCTAGATGTTGGTAATTCAGATAAGCACCTACTAGGGACAGTCAACACATAGTAGGGCTCTGATAGGCAACCAGTATTCCTAATTCCCTCTTTCCTCATTGCTGTACAAACAGAAGAGATTGTTGTTGTTTGAACATGCTTGGTCTCTAGAGAGAAGTCACCAGAGGTGAACAGTGCATTTGGGAAGCTAGAGGTATTTAGCAGATCTGTGTGTGCAGCCTTGAGATCGTTGCAGGCAGTTGAAGAAAGATTCCTCAAGGGGAATGGTCTAGTTTCTTAGAAAAAAAAAAACAATTTTTTTTTTCCATAATTGAAACACTTATACATATATCAAATCTCGTTGTGTGATGGCCTACCTCTCCCTCTCCCAGTCTGGAGTGGCATCCTGCTGCACATTCTGGACCTGTCGTCCAGTTCTGTGCTGCCGCTGTACATTGGGTACCATATCTGGAGAGCCACATACCAGTATCCACATATATACAGCTACCATGTTCTTCACAGCTGCATAATTTTCCAGTGTTGAGACATGCCATGATAATGTGGGTAGATGGTCCCCTACTGGTGAGCATTGAGGTTAGTCCCAGTTGTTTACTATTTCAAGCAAGATGTTCTCCGTTTTCCAGTTGTTTTCTATGTTAGCAGTTTGAATGTTTGCTTCTTTGAGAGGGGAGAGCTGGCCTCCTTCCATCCAGTCCTGCTTCAGTGTGGTTGAATGTCCCCCTAGGGAGACCCCAGAGGTT